GTCTGTTTCGGTTTTCAAAACGGTCATCTCATCACGCCCTCCAGGCTCACAGCTGGCTGTGTCTTCAGTGCCGTAACTACATTCCTGTGTGCTCAGAAGGAGGGTGAGAGACAGAAATCGTGTTAATTAGTTTTCTGGGATTGTAAGGCACAGAAGGGAAAATCGAGACGGGTTGCAATCCATCAATTATAACCAACGCACCACAGCTATATCATCGTAAACAGGAAGTATTGCACTTCATTTTAAAATCGATCTAAGGTGCTGTTCAGCCGTGTTATACTGGTGTCAGAGCGACACATCAGCTTGGGAATTTACCTCTCACTCCCGCGCCCGGTTTTCAGAAATAAAATCGTCTTTTAAAAAAACAATTTCCCCCAGCGGAAGAAGAGGAGCTACAGCAGGAACTAGGAAGAGAGGGCGGAGCGGGTCCAGTATCCCCCCCCCCCCCCCTGTGGGTCGATCTAAAACGCTCGGTACCGGGAGCTGTGGGACTGACTCACTATTGTCTGTTTCTCCTGGGCTATGGGCCCGAATCAGCCTGTGTTCCTCACCCTGGGAGGTGCTCCCTTTCCGAACCTCCCAGTTATCCGAGGTCCTGATGTCAGCAGCGGTTACTGCTGCCACAGTCTCTCTCCCTACCCCCTACTCCGTGTTTCCTGCTTCAGACGTCTGGATTATCGCGAGTACAGCTAGGACTAACATCCTGTGTGCCGGCCTACCTGAGCCAGAGTTCTCGGCAGGCTAGCGAGGCGAGTGCTTGTCGGACGGGTTTGCGGGACTACGGGCCGGAGGAACCGGACCGACATCGGTCACGTAGACTGGGCTTGTCGGACCCGAGACGGGCTGATCCGAGAGGTGGAGGCTCAGCTGGGCCCCCGAAAGCACGTCTTGCAGGGAGAAAGGGGGAGCTGGCAGCAGGGATGCCTGGAGGCTCTGAAAGTACCGCAGGTAGAAGGCTTCTATCTGGGCCTGGTACCACCTCCACTGCGCGGGGTCAAAGGGCACAGGCGTGTCGTACGCGAAGGGAAAGGACCACAGCAAGGGTGGCTGGCCAGCACCCGTGGATAAGTCCCGGGCAGGCGGGACATGAGAGATTTCGATATCCGGCGATCCGGAAGACGCCCGTCCGTGTGGCCCGGTGGTTGGAGACTGACTCCTGAGAATGGCTTTCCCATCTTTCTCTTCGTCCCAGAACTCAACCGCGGCGTTTGCACCCTCCCAGCTCGCCGGATACCCAGCACCTTCCCACCCGGATCCGAAGGTAAAGGAGGGCATCGATTCCCGATCGGATCCCACTCGGGATTTTTTGTGCCCCTTCGAGCGTCTTTTTGGTCTCCTGGAAGGCTGCGCCGGCTGGGATGGTTGGGAGGGCGGGAGGGGGGGGCTTGGGGCTGGTGGACTGGGAAGAGGGCCGGCCGGCTGCCGGCCGACCTTTCCGAGCTCCTCTGTTCCCTTTAATTCCGGAAAGCAGGAAGGCGGAAGACCGGGCTCTAGTGGGGGGGATGCCGAGGCAACCGTGGCTGGAATCCCTGAGGGGGAAAACGAGAAA